TTCATTTGTTTCAAGCAATTTTTAAATTTCCCCTTTGATTTCCTCTCTAATCCATTGCTCATTTAGTAACACATTATTCAGTCTCCATGTGTTTGCAAGTCTTCTTGGGTGTTTTGACTTCTTGGTCCCTAGCTTCACTCTATGACAGTCTGAAAAGGTGCATTGTATGATTTTGATTTTTTTCGAATTTGCTGAGGCTTGTTTTGTGACTTATAACATGGTTAATTCTGGAGAAGGGTCCATACACTGATGAAAAAAAAGTGTATTCTCTATCTGTAGGATGAAAGGTTTGATAGATATCAACCAAATCCATTTGCTTTAGAGTTTAGGTGAATTCTATTATTTGTTTGCTGATTTCTGCTTTTTTGATCTGTCCATTGATGTTAATGAGGTATTAATGTCACCCACTATGATTGTATTGGAGTCTAGTTCTCCCTTTAAGTCCATTAATATTTGTTTCACGTAGCTAGATGCCTTGGCATTTGGTGCGTGTACATTTATTATGGTGATCTCTTCTTGCTGAACGGGTCCTTTGGTCATTATATGTTATCCTTCTTCATCTCTTTCAATGTTTTTCACATTGGTGTCTATATCATCTGATATAAGAATGGCTACACCCACACATGTTTCCTTACCATTCGCTTGGAATATCTTTTTCCATCCTTTCACTTTCAATTTCCTCTGATCTTTGTTGATGAAGTGTGTTCTTGTAAGCAGCAGATCGATGGGTTTTGGTTTTTGATCTAGTCCTCTAATCTATGGCATTTGATTCATGAGTTTAAGACATTTACATTTAGTGTTAATATAGATAGGTGGCCATTTGGGCTTGTCATCTTAGCAATGGATTGCTCTTTGATTGGGTTTTCTGTTAGCCTTTTAGTGGCATGTTCTCCACATTTGCCTTAGGTTTTGGTGACTGCTATTTCTTTTCTCTTTCATGAGAACTTTTTTCAGTGTTATTTGTAGGGCAGGTTTGGAGGAGGTCAGTTCTTGGAGTTTTTGTTTATTATGGAAGAATTTTATTTCATTATCAAAGAAAAAAAGAGAGCTGTGCAGGATATGCTATTCTGGGCTAAAAATTTTTCCCTTTTGGAGTCTAGAATATGTCACTCCATTCTCTTCTGGTCTGTAGTGTTTCTCTGAGAGGTCAACTCTGAGTTTGGAGTTACTCTGTAAGTCACTTAATTTTTCTCACATGCATATTTAAGGATTTTTTTCTTATGTTCAACTGAGGAGAACTGGATTATCATGTGTTGTGGTAAAATTTGCTTTTGATTAGCTGTTGGGAGTTCTGTGACCCTCCTGTATATTATTTTCCAATTCTTTCTCCAGATTAGGAAAGTTTTAGTTTATTATTTCATTGAATAAACCTTTAATCCCAGTTTCTCTTTGTGTACCTTCTGGACCTCCCATAATTCTTATGTTGGGCTTTTTCATTGTATTTTTCAATTCTTGGGTACTTTTTTAGCTTTCCTACCTCTGCTTCCAGCTTTTTGTTTGTTTCCCCCTGGTGACAGAAAATATCTTCCAATTCTGATATTCTTTCTTTTGCTCATTCATTCTATTTTTGAAACTCTCCACTGTACTTTGAATTTACTCCACTGTATTCTTTTTTTCTCATCTCTGTTCTTTCTTTTTTTTTTAGATTTTTTTATTATATATATTTTTAATTACATTGTATTATGTGACACAGTTCTATATAGGCACTGGGACTCCCCCTACCCCTCTCCCAACCCTCCCCCTGCCGGAGTCCAGCTCCAGCCAAGTTCAGAGCTCAGGAGGGGTGTGTGGAGTCGGCGATAAAGAAAGACACAGACACAGACACTTGGTGCATTCTCACCACAGCTCAAGAAAAAGCTGTCCTTTTTATTTACTTGAAACACCTCACAAGCTTCTACACAAGCAACTATTCTATTTTTTTTTTTCAAAATTAAGGAGGCATGTACAGATATTTGGTCATTCTGTCAGTACTTCAAGGATAAGCAGGTGCCCCTACAGATAACTTTGCAAAATACTGTATTCATACTCTTCATAGCAAGCTATTGTTTATTCTTCAACAACAGCCATGGAGCAACAGCCAGGACTCCAAGGCCAAGGCACATGCAATTACCTGCTAATCAGTAGTACTTTCCTACCACATTTCTACTTCTACATTTTACCCATCATTTAATGCGAAAATAAGTTACAAGGGAAAAAACCTAAAATCTAAAACAGAAACTTCAAATGTTAAATCTCCCTACAACTATAGACTCCTACAAACCCATGAACAATAAAGTAATAATCAAAAGCATTTTTTGTTAATAAAACATCCTTAATTCCTCTAGCTAAAAATTATAAAAGCAGCTAAAACAATTACATTTTCTAGGCTCCAAAAAATTGCAAAGGCAGGCTAGCCTTTGAGATAACAATAACTATATTTATTGCCATAGCAGTTTCAGCTCTCACTCCCATCCCTTGCGTTAGTATTTAAGACATATATATCAAGCCCCTTCCCAGAGGGCGTGCTGTATGTCTGGGCCAGGTTCTGAGGCAATAGTTAGCACACAATAAGATGTCCAAAAATGACATGGGCTTAATTGTGCTCCTGAGTGTAAAATGTCAAAGGCCCACTCACCAAGACATTATCAGTGACATTAACTCTCAAGTTGCAAAAACTATCTCACAGGGGCAAACAACAATGCCTCAAAAGAATACAGAATTCTTAGTGGGGTGCTTGAGTATCCATGCAGCCAGGGGGTGAAACAGCATCAGGATGGTCAGAAAGAAATACGCCGGGCCCTGCCAAACAGACGCCGGGACAAGTGAGGGGCTGACCCAAGCTGAATCAGAGCAACCAGTGGCCTGTGCATGATGTATGGCTGGGAACAAGCCCAGTTGGGAAGCTAAGGGGACAACCCTAGCTGGGTTGAGGTTCCCACCAAGGTGTGCATGGCCTGGAATGGGGGTTGCATTGTGATCAGGAAACAGTTGTAGTCTCCCTTGGCACAAGTGTGGACTGGGACTGGACACACCAAGCAGGGTCAGACTCCAACACCCTCTGGTGTCCTGGAGGACCAGGGTAGATGTGGGATGGACAAGACAAGGTCTCAACCCATACTGGGCCATGTGTGAGCTATATGTGGGTATGGACGAGCCATGGCTAGGCTGAAACATCCAACAGCAAGGACCAGTTTGGGTTGAAGCCAAGTCAGGAAAAGCCACTGTTCTGCTAGGACAGGAGGTGAACCGAGTAGGGCTGGCTCATGGACCCACTAGTATGCGCAAAATCTGGCACTGGGAGAGGTTCTGATAGAGGTGCCTGGGCAACTCCTCTGGCAGGACACCTGTAGGTAAGCGCAAGAAGCATGGAAGAAAACAGCTCAGAACACCAGTTTCCCACTGGTTTATATTTGGCATGGGTTGGGGGCAGACCAGGATGAATCAGTTCACGTCATCCACTGGCAAATCCAAGCACCAGAACAGAGTGTGGGTTGAGCTGGGTTCGGTCGCAACAAAAACTAGTGCACAATACAGAATGCCAAGGTGAGGTTGCCTGTACTGGCGCCCAACCAGCACATGTAGGAACCAGGAAGGGAGGGGGCAGAGCCAGCAGGAGAATAAGGGGTGGTTCCTTTGCTGGACAGCTACTCCCACTAGAGAGCGTGGGCTGGGATGGGGGCAGACCAGACTAGGCAGGGCTACAACACCTGTACGCCTCATGTGGACTAGATCAGGAAAAGCCAGGCTTTTAGAGTGGGTAAGGGTTGTTTGGGCTTAGCCACAGCATCAGCTGGCAGAAGCTGGCACTGGGGGCTAGTTCTCTCAAGTCAAACCTCAGTGCATAATGCGGGAGTGGGAGAGGCCTGGAAGGGAAATAGTGGGCTCATCCCTCTTGGGTTACCACTTCCACGGGAGGGCATAAAACTAGGATAGCGACTAGAGTGGAATGGGGTGTGGGACAGACTGGACTACTGCTACACATACTGGCAAACCAGGGTAGGGGGCGGGCCTGGTGGGGGTTATTGTGGGTCACTCCAACTAGGCTGCAGCTTCCACTTTTTTATGTGAGGGCCGAGTACTGCTGGGCAGAACCAGGCTGGACTGCAACACCCATTGGTTCCAGTGGAAGTCGGGGCTGAAAACAGAACCAACCCAGCAATTGCAACCACCAGCTCATCGGGGCGATGGACTGTGCCGGGCCCTGTACTTGCTAGCACATACAAGAATCTGGTCTGAGAACATCTCAGACAAAGTTTCTTTGTGGATTTCCCCAATCGAAATGCTGGACTCAGAACCCTAACCAAGAAAAGACAGAAGAAAGAACAAGTCAATCAACCACCTTAGCTATATGTTGGCAACGAAATATGGGGCAAAAGGAGACTCTATGATGGACTATGTCAATTAGTGGATTCTTCCACGACCTCATTGTGCTTGGAGTGACGAGACTGGCAGCGATTCATAACTGGTGAACTATCAAAGCCACCTGAGCAAGAACCTCAAAGCATACCCTACATCCGGCACCTGGGGAGGGTGGGAAATTGGGTGGGCCTTCTCCCTTAATATCCCCCTTTAAACATGAAGGAAACAATATGGAAATAATAGTCTTACCCACTTTCTTATAGCCCTTGAACCTTTTTACCCTAATTTACTATGTAAAGATTGTCAAAAATATAATAAATAATAATTCCAAAAAAAAAATAAAGAAATAAAAAGACCAAAGGTCTGGGCGAAGCCCCGGCTCGGTGGGCCCCGCCACCCGCGACGCTCGCCCGCCCCCTCCCGACCGCCTTCCCGGGCGGCGCGCAGCTCCACTTCCGGCGTGTGAGGCGGTGACGATGGGAGCGGCGCGGGCGGCGCCGGGAGGCAGCTGACAGGCGTCTGTGGCTCCGCTTCATGGCCGCTCTCCCGTGGCGCCGGGGCTCGGGAAGGAGTCGGGGAGCCCGCCGCGGCCCGGAGCCCGAGCCACCGAGCCGCCGAGCCGCCAGGCCGAGCGGGGGAACGTGTGCGCGGCGCCACTGGGGCGCAGCATGTGAAGGGAAGACGGCGGGCAGCGCAGGCCGAGCCTCTCAGCCGGCCGGGATGGCCACGACGGCCGAGCTCTTCGAGGAGCCTTTTGTGGCAGATGAGTACATTGAGCGCCTTGTGTGGAGAACCCCAGGAGGAGGCTCTAGAGGTGGGCCTGAAGCTTTTGATCCCAAAAGGTTACTAGAAGAATTTGTAAACCATATTCAGGAACTCCAGATTATGGATGAAAGGATCCAAAGGAAAGTGGAGAAATTAGAGCAACAATGCCAGAAAGAAGCCAAGGAATTTGCCAAGAAGGTGCAAGAGCTCCAGAAGAGCAACCAGGTTGCTTTTCAGCATTTCCAAGAACTAGATGAGCACATTAGCTATGTGGACACCAAAGTCTGTCACCTGGGAGACCAGCTGGAGTGAGTCAACACCCCCAGACAGCGGGCAGTGGAGGCGCAGAAGCTGATGAAGTATTTTAATGAGTTTCTAGATGGAGAATTGAAATCTGATGTTTTTACAAACTCTGACAAGATAAAGGAGGCGGCAGACATCATCCAGAAGTTGCATCTAATTGCCCAGGAGTTACCTTTTGATAGATTTTCTGAAGTGAAATCCAAAATTGCAAGTAAATACCACGATTTAGAATGCCAACTGATTCAGGAATTTACCAATGCTCAAAGAAGAGGTGAAATTTCCAGAATGAGAGAAGTAGCAGCAGTTTTACTTCATTTTAAGGGTTATTCCCATTATATAAAGCAGTGCCAGGAGGGAACTTATTTGAGAAATGATGTATTTGAAGATGCGGCAATACTCTGTCAGCGAGTGAACAAACAAGTTGGAGATATCTTTAGTAATCCAGAAACAGTACTTGCTAAGCTCATTCAGAACGTGTTTGAAATCAAACTACAGAGTTTTGTGAAAGACCAGTTAGAAGAATGTAGGAAATTTGATGCAGAACAGTATCTAAAAAACCTCTACGATCTATATACAAGAACCACCAGTCTTTCCAGCAAGTTGATGGAGTTTAACTTAGGTACTGATAAACAGACTTTCTTGTCTAAGCTTATCAAATCCATTTTCATTTCCTATTTGGAGAACTATATTGAAGTGGAGACTGGCTATCTGAAAAGCAGAAGTGCTATGATCCTGCAGCGGTATTATGATTCAAAAAATCACCAGAAGAGATCCATTGGCACAGGAGGTATTCAGGATTTGAAAGAAAGAATTAGACAACGTACCAACTTAACACTGGGGCCAAGTATTGATACTCATGGGGAAACTTTCCTGTCCCAGGAAGTGGGGGTTAACCTCTTACAAGAAACCAAACAAGCCTTTGAAAGATGTCATCGGCTCCCTGATCCTTCTGATTTACCAAGGAATGCCTTTAGAATTTTTACCATTCTTGTGGACTTTTTATGCATTGAGCATATTGATTATGCTTTGGAAACAGGACTTGCTGGGATTCCTTCTTCAGATTCTAGGAGTGCAAATCTCTATTTTTTGGATGTTGTGCAGCAGGCCAATACTGTTTTTCATCTTTTTGACAAGCAGTTTAATGATCACCTCATGCCACTGATAAGCTCTTCTCCCAAGTTATCTGAATGCCTTCAGAAGAAAAAAGAAATTATTGAACAAATGGAGATGAAATTGGATACTGGTATTGATAGGACGTTAAATTGCATGATTGGACAGATGAAGCACATTCTGGCTGCGGAACAGAAGAAAACAGACTTTAAGCCAGAAGATGAAAACAATGTGTTGATTCAGTATACTAATGCCTGTGTAAAAGTCTGTGTTTATGTAAGAAAACAAGTGGAAAAGATTAAAAATTCCATGGATGGGAAGAATGTGGACACAGTTTTGATGGAACTTGGAGTACGTTTTCATCGACTTATTTATGAAATCTTCAACAGTACTCCTACAGCTGCATGGGTGGCATGTTAGCAATTTGTGATGTAGCTGAATATAGGAAGTGTGTCAAAGACTTCAAGATTCCGATGGTATTACATCTTTTTGATACTCTGCATGCACTTTGCAATCTTCTGGTAGTGGCCCCCGATAATTTAAAGCAGGTCTACTCAGGAGAACAACTTGCTAATCTGGACAAGAACATCCTTCACTCCTTCGTACAGCTTCGTGCTGACTATACATCTGCCCGCCTTGCTCGACACTTCAGCTGAGGTTGAGGTAACCGGGGGAGTTTGTTGATGCAGCAGCCTCGCTGGAGGGAGAGTACGGAAGATTGCTATGATGCAGCCAGCCTTTTATGAGAAATGACTGGGAGAGAACAGCAGCCATACTTACTGTTGGAACTTCACTTGAAATTTGGATACTATTATATATATATATGTATATATATATAATATATATATTTTGCTTTGTAGCTCCCTAAGTTGAATTTTTAAAACCATTTTTGACTTACAAATTTCAAATTCTGTAAAACCACATGTCACTGTTTTTGTCCTGAGAAATAGTGTCAGAAGACAAATGAAATATTACCAGTGTTTCAGTTCTTGTTTTTGATATGTTCTGTCTGGAAATTTTGTCATCCCATTTTTTCATTGGTAACAATTAAAATACAGCAAAACTAAAAACAGCTAGAGGAAAACACTGGGATAATCTTCCCACCAGCTTCCTCCCCCTCTGAATCTCAAATATATATATATATATATATATATATATAACCAAATAACCAGTTCATGTCCCATCTGTTCCACTTCCCTTCCAGCTCTCTGCTTGTGACCTGGGAAAGAAGTGAAGGACAGCCCAAAGCCTTGGGACCCTGCACCCACTTGGGAGACCCAGAAGAAGCTCCTGGCTATTGATTCTTATCAGCTCAGCTCTGGCTGTTGCATCCATTTGAAGAGTGAACCAGCAGATGGAAGATATTTCTCTCTATCTCTGCTCTCCACAAATCAGATCTGCCTTTACAATAAAAATAAAAAATAAAATCTTAAAAAAGATTCATTTATTTTTATTGGACAATAAGATATACATACAAAAGAAAGGAAGATCTTTTGGCCACTGATTCATTCCCCAAGTAGCTGCAACAGCAGGAGATGAGCTAATCTGAAGCCAGGACACAGGAGCCCCTTCTGGGTCTCCCAGGTGGATGCAGGACCCCAAGGCTTTGGACTGTCCTTCACTGTTTTCCCAGGTGATAAGCAGAGAGCTGGATGGGAAGTGAAGCAGCTGGAATTAGAACCAGTGCCCATATGGGATCCCAGCACATTCAACATGAGGATTTTAGCCACTGGAATAACACACTGGACCCAATCTTCAAAACAAAACAAAACAAAACAAACTTGTTTGCCTGGGCAGGGTCAGGCTCAAGCTCAGCTCCCAACACCAACTGCCTGCACAGGTGCACCCTGGGAGGCACAGTGATGGCTTACGTCATTGGGTCCCTCTCACCTTGTAGGAGATGGAGATGCCATTGCCTGGCATTCATGTTGCCTGGCAGCCTCGGGTGTTGTGGGTGCATGAAGAAGCTCTCCATCTGCTTCTTGCTTTCTCTTTTCTACCTGTCTCCCTTTTAGATAATCAACCCAAAGAAGAAAATTATTTTTTTAAATAAAAAAGATATGTGCACAGAGCACATCCACAGTGATGGTAACCCTTAAAATGGAGAAAAACACCTGTGAGCCAGACAGTAGAAAAACACTGGCAGCAAGCTTGAGGTTTGCAAGAGTAGAAGGAACATGAGGAAAAGAACTAGACTCCCCTGGATGCTGACTCTGTCAAACACACACACATACAATCAGGCCTCAGGGGTAGCAGGTGTCCTTAAGAACAAAGGGAAGTCTCCAGTGTCCACAGCCAATTTCATAAAGACCCAAACATGTTACTGTGCCCATCCCACATTCAAGGACAGTGGCCAAGAGCCTGGATGCCTCCTGCCCTGCCTTGACCCATGGCTCATCCCACCGGAGCAGGAAGCTGAGGCCTGTTGGGCTTTCCCCAGAAGCAGCAACTAAGGGAAAATCAGGAAGCACATGCATGGCCTCTGCACACAGCACACAGGGCCTGGGCTCCACAAGGCCGCGCTACCTGCTCTGAGGGTCACCTGACAGGTTTGTGGTGCTTGAGGAAGATTTCCTGACCACAGTGAACCTCAAGGACTAGATTATTGCTCACAATCATGTCTGTTCAGGAGTGTCTATGGGTCCCTGACTCTCATCCTACATCCCACCAGGTTCTTCTGACCCAGGTGCATTTACCCAGCACCCTCCACTAAGTGATGCAGCCTTTCTCCTCCTCCTGTCCTGAGGGATGAAGCATCTGGTCCCTCCTGGTCTCTATGGGAAAGCTGCCTTGTGCTGGAGAGGCCACTGCACAGGCTGCTCCATCTGCTGGGACTGTGCTGCCCCTGATGCCCCAGGGACAGTTCCCACCTGGGAGTCTCTGTTCACCCATCAGTCTATAGAAAACTGGAGCCCTGCCCCCACTCAGCCCCCAGACTCCTGCTGCACTTCTCTTCTCCTCTATAGATGCATCACCACCTGAAGCATTCTGAAATGCACCTGATCATAATTTTTCTTCATTACCTGCTCTGAATCAAGTGCAAGGTCAAAGGACAGGCACATCTGTTGCTTGTTAAGTACTCACAATCATACATGTGCATGGGATACCCCGTTGAATGTCTGATGAGTGACTTAATTCCCACAGTGAACCGCGAGCATACACAGGCTGCTATTGACATTTGGGGGATTTTAGCCAATTATAAATAACAGTTGATAATGTAACATTAGATAGAAATTGTAAATGTTCAATAATGAAGTAACCTGTACTCCTGGTCACAGGGACCTTCTCTCGTTGGACACAGCTCCCCACCCTGCCACACTCTCTATCTCTTTAGCTTCTCTCCTCTCTTGCTCTCAGCACAGCAGCAGAACCCCAGGGAAACTGTGGCTTCTCCTTCCTACTCGCCAGGGCAAGCCTGTCCTCTTTCCATGACATTTTCATAAGATCTGCCCAGGGGTTGCATCTTCATCAATCAGAAGAGCCTGTGTGGAACACCTAGGGATTTCTCCAGAACAGAATCTTCAGGCCAGGAGCCACCCCAACCCTCCTGCCCCAGGGTGAGCAGCCAGGGCTGCAGGAAGCAGCACCTTCCTCTGCTGCTCACTCCAGGCAGCACATCCAGGACCCAGCCCCAAACAGCAACCTCCTGCAGGAGACTAACGCTGGCTGCTGCTTTCTGCTGCTGCTTACTTCATTCTCTGTTTCAAAGTAACTACATCCTTGTGAAATACATTTTGTGCAAAGCCACACCCACAGCAGGGCAAGGCACTGGGAGAACCAGACCCCACAGGGGACACTTGGAATGAAGCATCACCCACCCCTGAGCACCTCCAAGTAGACCAAAGCCGTAAGAGTCACACCTGCAGCTGGAACCTAGCAGAAGGACATGGAGAGGGACACACTCTGGTAGAAATTGGGGCACAGACTTCTCTCATAAGACCACAAACCCAGAGCCAATGGGGGAAACAGACCAGGGACTGCGTCCATGTGAGCAGCTCCTGCAGCAGAGAAAACAGGCCAGAGAGCCAAGATTGGGAAAGTGTCTGCATATCCCACAACTGGCCAGAGGCTCATGGCCAAACATCCACAGGACTCAGCAATCACAACTTCAACAAACAAGACAAAGGACTGACATGGATGTTCTCAGGGGTGGCACTGGGATGTGCTGGGTTACCCCATGTCCAGTACTTGGAATTGATCCCACCTCCATAGTGATCCAGTTTCCTACTAATGCACCCCTTGGTTTTGTCAGTGATGCCTGAAGCCTTGTGCTTGTGCAATCCATGGGGGAAACCTGGGTCAAGTTCATGGCTTCTGACTCTGGCCTAGCCAGGTCCATATGCTGCAGGATGTGAGGGAGTAACCAGAAGATACATGATCTTCATCTGCTTATCAATCTATTATGTATTATATATTTATATGTATATATAATATGTATCTCAAATTTTCCTAGAAAGGATTTAAAACAAAATACTTGAAAGAAATTACATTGAACTTGCTATAATCCCCACTGCTCTGGCTACACGGACCATCACTTTTACAATGGGAATGTCAGAAATATCTGGATAAGGTTGATGTGTGGGAAAAAACAGAATAATGGTAATTGTTCAGTGAAGAAAAAGATTTAGAAAATGTAAGGATAGGGTTTAATGCAGTGATCTATGTTATTGAGCTCATAAAAAATTCTCAGTCATTACCTTCATGTTGTTTATGCTGCTGGCTTTCGTGCCCTTTAAACTTATAATAGTGACCAAAATATCTGTGCAGTTAAGGTTTTTTTAAAATTATTGTTGAAGCCTGTTTTTTTTTAAAAGAAACCAGACTCTGAGCTTGCTATCTGTTTAAGTGAAAATCTATTAAAGATTATTTTCTTGCACTGAAAAAAAAAATAAACACACTGTATCCCAGGCTGGCATCTTTATTATTATTATTATTATTATTATTATTATTATTTTGCTTTTTAAGATTTTTTAAATAAGCATTTTTTTAAAGGCAGATTTGCAACCAGAAAAGGACAGATGGAAAGATTCTTCCACTTGCTGGTTCACTCAACAAGTGGCCACACTGGCCACAGCTGAGCCGATCTGAAGCCTTGAGCCAGGAGCTTTATCAGGGTCTCCCATGTGGGTTCAGGAGCTCAAGGACTTGGGCCATCATCTGCTGCTTTCCCAGGCCACAAGCAGGGAGCTGGATTGGAAGTGGAGTAGCCAGAATACAAATTGGCTCCCATATGGGGTCCTAGCATTGCAGGAAACTATATTACCCAATGTGCCACAATGCTTTCCCTATTGTTTTCCAGTTAGGAAATAAGGAAGTAGAAGGGCTCAGGATATTGTTGGTGAGACCACAGCATGGGGGGAAGGAGATCAGGTCCCTCTCTGCAGATGGTAGGCCGCCTCAAGTGGAACCAGGGGACACAGTAGACAGCATGGCCTGCTAGCTTGGATTTCTCTTGGCATGGGCTCATGGCGCCACCTGCTGGTCATCTGAAACAGACAGGCTCACACACTGCAGGACAGAGCATCAATGTTCCAGAGAGGAATTTTATCCCCTCAGGACCTCCCCCTCCCTCAGTCACTCAAAACTCACATGTAGCCCTTGTGGGGAGGATACTGATGACCCACAAGCACTTGCATCACCCCCTTTTGTCAGCCACGGCTATTCTCATGCAACACTGTCCACATGGAACCCTGCCATTACTGTCACCACAGAGCAAAGGAGCTGAGGGCTGCAGGGTGGAGGATGAGATCCAAGAGCAACCCTCACACGCCCGCAAGGGCCTTGAACATGTCCTTCCGACCCAAAGAGGGTCACACTGGTTCCTTCTGCTGGGGCCCCTCCAACGTGCCATGCCCTCTGCATCCTGCCCTGCCCTCTCGCTGCATTGAACCACCTCTCTCTCCCCAGCCTTCCCCCCCCCCCCCCACAGAGCCCAGCAGGAGGCTGAGGCACTAGAGGCCCAGAGCAGCAACCTGGACTGCACTGACCGAGACACTCCAGGCCAAGGGGGCTGCCGAACTACCCTGCCACCTTCCAGGCTGCACTGTGTCTATCT